GTTAAGAAAGAAGCAGGGTGGAACTGCCTGATTGATCGTCTCTGTACCAATAGGATGAATTATCACATAGAATCATAGAAATGTAGGGCTGGAAGGGACCTCAAGAAGTCATCTAGTCCATCCCCTCCTGCTTAGGCAGGACCAAGTATACCTAGACTAGGGTGACTAGATAGCAAGTGTGAAAAATCAGGACAGAGGGTGGGGGGTAATAGGAACCTATATAAGAAAAAGCCCCAAATATCAGAACTGTCCCTATAAAATCGGGACATCTGGTCACCCTAACCTAGACCAACCTGTTCCTAAAGACCTCCAAGGATGGGGATTCCATTCCCTAGGTAACCTGTTCCAGTGCTGAACTATCCTTAGAACTCAGAAAGTTTTTCCTAATATCTAATCTGAATCTCCCCTGCTGCAAACTGATAAGATGATTACTTCCTGTCTTACCCTCCAGGGCCAGGGAGAACAATCCTAGGGTGGAAGGCGCTACAGACATGCAAATTAACGTTCCTGTTTATCTGACCTGGGTTTCCAGGTAGGCTTTGGTCTCCAGGCACAGTGACCACCAAATTCATTTGACTAACAAACTCCTTCTGCAGAGGCGAACTCTACAACTTCACAGTGAGCCACTCACTTTCCCAACGCCAACAGAGCACGTTTCATCCCGTGGATTTGCACGCTTACATTGCTGCACCAGTGCAGGTGTGCCACTATAGAGCTTAGTGAAGATGCTACCTACGCTTCTCCTGTTGGCATAGGTACCCCACTTCCCCAAGAGGCAGTAGCTAAGGCGACAGGAGAAGCCCTTCCGTTGACACAACGCTGTCTACACCGGGGATTAGGTCGGTATAACTACATCGCTCAGGGGTGTGACAGTTATACTGACATAAATCTGTAGTGCAGACCAGAGCTTAATCGTGTTAGTATAATAAGGACCCTGAAATTCCATCCTGGTTTTTATTGCATTCTATAGGTAGCCAAATACTGATTTGCGTAATTCAAGAGGGGTCAGGATTTCACTATTTCCAGAAGCTGACTTATTCCCATAGTGTGAATCCAAACCTCCTTTGGAAAATTACACCTTGCATCAGTTATTAAAGAGTACATGATTAATTAGAATCATAGAACTATAGGGTTAGATGGGACTGCAAGGGTCATCTAGTTTAACCCCCTGCCAAGATGCAGGATTTGTTGTGTTTAAACCATCGAAGACAGGTAGCTATCCAGCCTCCCTTTGTAAATCTCCAGTAAAGGAGCTTCCACGACCTCCCTAGGCAGTCTGTTCCATTGTTCTACTGTTCTTATAGTTAAGAAGTTTTTCTGGAGATTTAATCTAAATCTGCAATGCTGTAGTTTGAGCCCAATGCCTCGTCCTACCTTCTGTGGCAAGGAAGGACAAGTTTTCTCTAGCTTTTTTATGGCAGCCTTTCAAGTATTTGAAGACCGCTATCATGTCCCCCCTCGATCTCTTTTCCAAACTAAACATACCCAGTTTCTTCAGCCTTTGCTCATATGGCTTGCATTCCAACCCTTTGATCATCTTTGTCGCTCGCCTCTGCATCCTTTCCAGTTTCTTACATCCTTTCTATACATTGGTGACCAAAACCAGACACAGTCCTCCAGCCAAGGCCTAACCAGCGCCAAGTAGAGCGGTACTATCACCTCCTCTGACTTGCATGCTATGCCTCTATGAATGCAACTAGAAATTGCATTTGCTTTTTTTGCAATAGCATCGCGTGGTTGACTCATGTTGAGGTTGTGATCCACCACAATCACAGATCCTTCTAGATTATCCCCTATTCTGCATTTGGTTTTTCTTCCCTAAATGTAGCACCTTAGCTGTCTGATTTCAGCCAGTTCAGCCATATGAGCAGGTAGCAAGAAAGAGAAGACAAGCGTGTTCCGGAGCTTTCTCACAGAACCCAGCCATAAAGCTCTCCAGCAAGGTGTAAAGCATTACAGCATCCAAAGAGCCTCAGCAAAAACAACGAGGAGTACTTGTGGCACCTGGCTGATTTTTCAAAGGACAGTGTTTAGAGGGGTTTCAAATGCTGCTTTAGAAATTAACCCTTTTATCAGCATGTCGTCTGCCACAACTATCTGCTCATATTATTTGTTTAAAATCAGTTACAAACTACAGACAACTGAGATATCATTTGTCTCCAACTGCTGTGGTGGTTTTGGTCCCCCTGAATGTGGGAGACCACAGCTAGAACCAGGCGTAGGCAGGCAGAGCAGTGCACATTTCTGACACGGACTAGTCCAGCAAACGCACTGCTCTGCCAGTGCATCACAATCCTGGCCTATTAACCCTCCTTTCTACTCCCATCCTGTGCTTCTCACAACCCAGAGTGCAAAATGTACCGTGTGTTTCAATTCTGTGTTGTGGTTAAATGTCCACTGGGGATTAAACCAAGACCCCCAAATTCCCTTCACTGGGAACCTACTCAGATTCAATGTTGCAAAAGCTATTTCTAATTAAGCCCCCTGATACATTTCTAAGTACAAAGGGGACAGAAACACCATATCAAGACAGCTGTAATCGTATCAGTCCCAGCCATGTTTTGGACTCCTTTTGTAGTAGTGCTGTAGCTAAGGCTCACGGAGGATGATCAGCCAATAGTCTGCATGGATCTCAATTTATCTGCCTGGGAGGAACCAAGGGCTGAGTCGACTGGATTGGGACTGGAGCGAAGAAGTTCTGTCTAGTCCAAGCCTGAAGCTCAGACAGCGAAGCCATCCCGAACACACAGATTCATAGATTCTAGGACTGAAAGGGACCTCGAGAGGTCGAGTCCAGTCCCCTGCCCACATGGCAGGCCCAAAAAGAGTGTAGAAGGTTC